ATTACTAGACATCATGGAGCCTTCTCGATATCCACCTCTCTGAGGCCTATTCGTCACCAATGATTGCGTTTTACCCTCAGACTGCTCTATTCTAGGGGTGAGATGTAATATACTGGCAAACTTGCTCATAGATTGATTGACACTAGTATTTACCAGTTTCAGGATATCATCAAATTTTGGCTCGATACCTTCATCCTGCATACGGGAGCTTATCTTCACCCACTTCCTTTGCAGTCGAGTAGGTAGGCGTCTTGCTATTACTTCTAGTATAAAACTCGAGTTGAGGTCACTCATGCAATTCATCGAAATCAATGCATTCTCGTAAATCAGCAAATTATCCGAAAACTCAGAGAGTGCCTAGGAGTCATCCTGTAATTGACCACCATTACCCTCAACAGCCTCGAATAATTTCCCTGCAATCATCGAAGGCCTTCCAAACATTTGACGTAGTATGCTCATAGCCTCGTAGTAGCCCTCTTTTGGCTTCATAAACTTACAGCACTGTAAAGCTCTTGAAGCAACTCCAGTGCAATACCTCACAAATACATTAACTTCAATTCATCACTTGATAGAAAACTACTCAACATGATTTCAAACTCCTTTACAAATTGTAAATAATCAGCCGGGTTTCCATCAAAACGTCGTGGTTCAAATTTAGGGAGTTTGATGTTCCTATTATCCCTGAACGGCGAAACAGTAACATCAACCATATCATGCTTAACATCAGACACATCGTCACAATTAAAGGACAAGTCACAATGACTTACTTTCCTGCTTGCATCCGAGACACTCTGTCCCTTCTTTGACCCAGGCATTGTTGAACTTGACCCAATTCCAAAAAGGTTCCAGATATTGCTTGTTCAAAAAGGACTTGACCGGCACCAGGAAATATGAACGGTGATTATCCAAACTGTTACCAGCTATCTGAATCCGCCAGAATCTGTTTCTACCGTCAGAAACTGTCAGCCACGTCTCATAAACCGTCAATGCCCAGCTCTCGCTACGCTGGGACTTACGCTGTTCCTTGAAGTTTCTCAGAAACGCTTAGTAATAACGGACGCAGAAACCAAAACACCGATTGGCCGCTTGGGAATTCTTTATTGCTACACCAACATATAAAAATAATAATTGGACTAAGGTCTGTGAGCAAATATTACAATAATAAATCACAATATTACTTCTGACGGTTTACTGCTGACTTCTTTCTGAACAGCGACCGATGAGACGATGACTGTCGTATTGATTCCTCCGCGAAAATCGGGGAAGTTGATTTTGAGCAAACAACCGTGAATTGATCGTTAAATCTTAAACTCCACTAACACCACCTTTTAATTATATATTATAATTTTCTTCGTTAATCATCACTCCATTGACATTTTGACACTGACTAATTATTATTAACAAACATATGGGCACTTGATTGGCATATTGTTGTGTATTGTATTAAAAAATACTATATATTTTAGAGTAGAGCCAGAGATTAGGATCTAATTGAAAAGCGAATATTTCTTCGCTCCTTCTTTCTCTTTCCTAAATCCTGAGACTGAAGTACACCTAAACAATATCAGTTCTTCACCATGCGCTCTGCGCTAAAACTGTCCCTATGATCCAAACTGTACGGCCGTGAGATTAGGCAAGTTCGTGTGCTGGATCAAGAACACTCTCCAGCCTCTTTCGGAAAGGTTGAAATCAACTTTATCACATTTAATAATAATAATATATATTAATTGCATTTTTTATTTTCCCGTCGATTGGTTTGACCGAAGTGCCTGGTCTCAGGTTGACGTCCCGGCTTCTTTTGCAGGTGCTTCGACGATGTCTAGGTATTTAGCATTTAATTTGTGGATGGCGACTAGCAGTGGAATCCAGGATGCGCATTTCGTCCTGTTTGGAACTCGTCGGCTGAATGCACCTGCATTTCTCAGTGAGTGATGATGTTCCCACCGAGGCTCGAACGCAGTGCCCATATTTTCAAACACCAAAGCGTCATCCACTAGACCACTAGGGCCACGAGAGCCTCTTCTTTTGGAACGAGTTCGAGCCTCGGTGGGAACATCATCACTCACTGAGAAATGCAGGTACATCCACATGACGAGTCCCAAATAGGACGGAATGCGCATCCTAGCTTCCACTGCTAGTTGCCATCCACCGATTTTATCACACTTCGTATTGAAGTCAGCACGAACTCAACGGCTACATTCAATACTTTGGAGTCACTATCACTCACAGACCCCCTTAATTCCATTGGTCTTCTACTTATCCTTTTACCTCCGCACCAACAGTTCGGTCTCAATCTTTGTCTATTTACACTCCTTTTTTGGTGTTTTCAGAAACTACCGAATTTTACATCTATGCTATCACGAATTATTATTGCTGGTATGGTCTCTTCACTCAACACATGACCTCACTCACTCATTTCGCATATTGACCATTTCAGCGAAAATTCCTCTTCGAACTCATAATCACCCGTTCAGTACACACAACTTTGAAATAACCTGTCAGCTTTCTCCACATCACGTGAACAAATGATGGCTTGTCATCATCGCCTTGGATTTGAGAAAATCCGTAATTTCATTCAGCTCACCATATATGTTTCACAAATATTATTCACTTTGTCATCCTACAACTAATCCTTACGACTGTCTGTTGTTGTATTTTTTTATAATGGCAAGTACAAGAAAAGAATTTATTGAAAAGATTGATGGTCGTTTAATGATAATAATAATATATTCTCAATTCGTACATGAGGGACGGCAGTGTGCAGGCATCATCAATATGATAAATTACATATACTATTAGCAATCATACTTAACAATAATGTTTTGATAAAATACGTATTTTTCCCCACCTGTGTAGGACACACCAAATGTACAGGCGTGGATAAGAATTATTTAAATTACATAAATTTGGTTTATGGTTAAATTACATAGTCCCTGACGTTTTCACCTTTGGTTTGTCGGAACAATATGATAACCAGTCATTCAATAGAGCACATCAAGGAATATAGTAATATTGTCTTCCCATTTACAAAATCCCAAGTATGTGTTTGATAGATTACAAATACTTGGGAAAAAATAAAGCTTGAAGTAATTCCCCCATATAACTTTGGTGTGTACGGCATCGTGTCATATTCTTGATTTATATCCAAATTTGGCAATAATTAAAATAAGTGATACACTTGTATAGTTTTGTCAGAATTTACATCGTAACATCACGAGTGAATTGTACTCAATGTAGAATAATAATGATGACAGTATATATTTCCTCATAAACGAGTGTTTCAAGAAACGAAAGATATTTTTACAGATACGATCAGTTCCGTTAAATGTTATAATCGTGAAGTTGTATTATAAATTAACACTTTCCCATTGGTATGAAGGTATATTCCACAACTGTAATCCAGGTTGCGTCGTGGGTGAAGGTAATACGTAATTCACGAAGGAATTGTAGGATGTGGGACCAATAATGTTTGCAGATCATCTGTCAATTTGAATGGTCAGATATCCACATACTTCAGTCTCATTCAAAAAGTCAAATGAAAGCTAAAATGGTGAGACAAAAAGGAGGACAAACAACAGCAACGCAAAATAAAGCAAGAAGAGTCCTTAAGGAGTGATTAATAAATATATACGTATATATTCTGTTAATAATAATAACTGATGATGCCTGTAAACTGGCGTCCCTCATGTACAAAATGAGAATATACTATTATTATTATATACTCTGTTTAGTAACAATGGTTATTTTTGTTTACTAACTAACTAGTCCCGTTATGCTAACTTTAATATTATGTGTGAACTAATATTACTTTCCTGTGTAGAAATGTTTATCATCTAGTTCCAATAATATTAAAATTTATAATTGTAGTTTGTTGTAACTACACGTTTAAAGAACTTAAAATATCCATGTAGGGTGAAAAAGAGGGTGTAAGAGTCAGATGTAGAAGTGCATTGTCATCTTTGAGCAGCCTGGTGACTGAGGAGGTGAACACTGGGAGTGTGTTTGCATCACACGCATTAGCTGGTAGTCTTTTCCAAATGACTGAAAACTTATTTAAGAAGAAGTTGTACCGCATGTAAGTCTGACAATGCTCCATAGCAGCTAGGTTGTGACGATTTCTAAGATTGTAACTGATGACAGTGGCAGGTTTAGTTGTTGGCTCGGAGAAATGCAAGGGAAGATTAGTTAGCTTATAATAGGAGATAAGGTTTAGCTTAAGGCGTCTTTTCCAGGGGGGTTCTAATCTTAGTCTGTCGCATCGCTCATGGTATTCCAGACCACTTTCTAAACCAAGAGTTCTTGAGGTAAACTGCCGTCGTACTCCCTCTAATTTAAGCTTGTCATTTTGTCTGAATACGCTAAGAATAAACGGGTAGTATTCTAAGATAGGTCGGACACAAACTTTATATGATAAAACCTTTGTTTCACAACAAAAGAAGTTGCGTGTTATGCATCCTATCAGCCTTCGCGTTTTACGTCTGGCATAATCAGTCTGTTCAGAGAACGTTAGGTTACTAGAGTATCTAATACCGAGATCTACGACTGAGTTGAGCTTAGCTAGTTTTCGCCCATTTATTTCAAGAGTTAGATCAAGGTTACTGTTACTGATACAAATCCAGCCGCATTTGTCAATGTTAAAATTTAGACAGGATTCAGCACACCATGTTGCGAGACTACTTAGTTCAAGATGTATTTTATTTACCATATCACTTAGTTCATGAGTGAAGCAGGAGTAGACGACTTTGAAGTCGTCAGCATATAGGAATGGTTTGCCTAAGGTGAAGCACTTGCAAATGCTGTTAATGTAGACTGCGAATAAATGTGTTTCTAGGACACTACCTTGCACAACTCCACTTGAGATCTGTCTAGAATGAGACAATACAGATCCGACTTTGGTTATTTGTACCCTGTCGCTTAGAGACAATTTTAACCAGTTCAGTAATGGGTTGCGAATTCCACATGAGTACATCAATTGTGTATCGCGGTACGTTCAACGTTTGCGTTACATTTTTACGTGATTCGTTACATAAAATTTATCTTGTTGTAGTACTTGCACAAGTACTATACCACTTCCATACTTGTAACCACTAACTCTTATTTCTAATAGTTATGGTTAATCAAAGTAAAAAGCAGCGAACCCAATCCCCTGTAAAACTGGTGTCTAATTTAACGTCCTTGATTGCTACATCAAGCAACACACCCCCAACAAACGGCTATAGTGAGTCACATAACTCACGTGTATGCCGTAAGCGTCGAGCTGAAACTGAAAATAAAACTGTACTGACAGCCAGTATTAGCACTACTCCTAAAAATTCGGTACCCTCTGCTCATACAGAACTCCTCCCTTCACCTTATGTGCTTATGGAGAAACTCCAGCCATCAAGCTCTTTTTCAGTACTATCTTCAGAAATAGAACTTCTAAAGTTGTCTATAGGAGAACTTAAGGCTGAGTTAAGGGAAATAAAAAACAGCAAGTCAGTAAATGCTGGAAACATCGAAACCAATACCGAGATATGCAAATTATCAGATCAGATCAGCGATATCAGATCGCAGGTCTGTGGACTGACACCTCTAACTATCCTCATGAAAACGGTAAACCTTAACAAGCTTGACACAGAATCGGTAACTAAGGTAGATAACCTCATTAACTTTGTTACCACAGAAGTAACAAAACGACTCGACGCAAAACTGAGTGCTATTGTCTACAACGTTCCGGACAATGAGGCAATAAAAAAGGTACAGCGCATCTTACTTAGTGAAGCGAAAATGCCTAACTCCAAGACTAAGTGCTACAGGCTGAAGAAGAGTCAACATGAAAAGTGCTGTCCTATTCGATTTCAGTTCGAAACACCGGCAGAGACCAGAAAATTCATTCACTCCCAACACACCCTATCGCAAGCCAGAAACTACAAACATATAAAGGTCGGGGTGGACAAAACAGTTATAGAAAGGCGCGCACACAACTATCTCACTAAGACTAATTGTGAAATAGGTAATAGGACATTGCAGCAAGCCATTATCCCCAACCCTGTGAAAGATACAGTAGACCCCACCGCATCACCCCTCTCAAAACACACAGAAATGTCCCATCAGAGTGCAACACCAGCCGAAAGGCCACTAGACTGTAACCAAATAAATAATAAAACCATACCACCCATCACCGCAGAATCTAAAATGCCACTAAATAACCCCAGAAAAAAAGTTAAAACCCCCCGAAACTCGACTTTGTCCTCTCCTAGCTATAATTCCATTGGTAAAGATAAGGAAAATATGCCCCTAAATCATACCAACAAAAACAGTGGCAGCTTAAATAAGCCCACACTCCCCACGGTTAATAGTATTAGCACTCACAACGTGCTAAATCGCACCGTGGCACACACTAATATCCAATGTCACAACGATGTCACCCTAAATAGTACAAGTGGTAACAGTCAGAACTCGGCTACCAACAACTCAGGGTCTTCAGAGTATGGCACACAAACAAATTTCGACCGGATATATGGTACAAGTCTGCTGGGAACTAACCCAAAATGCAGTACACACGAAACCCACACAAGGACACAACTAGCATCAAACAATAGGTGGAATAATAAGCCATGGTCATCACAAGGATCCAATCATTTTTTATCCCCCGCGTCCCTGTCAGCGTTGAAAAAACAGCTGGTAGGGATGTTAACACTCCTAAACCACTAGTGCTGGCTCCCTCCTTGCATGAAAACAGGAACGGTCTAGTGCACCCGTATCCATTGGACACACTTGACACTTGCACAAGTATAGGCCAAATAAAGAACCCTACCCACTTCTGTAACCTAACTAAAAATAAAAGTTCCTTAGTCTATAGCAAATCCAGTACTCCAACTCCTAATTCTCCACCGAAAACAGCACACAACAACTCGATAGACATAGGTGAGCATGATGCTGGAACTCCTCTTAACATAGGATCGTCATGTCCAGCAGAACTACTGGGTGCTGAACCATATTCGGGGCTGACTAACGAACTTAAATACTTCAAATGCTACTTCAACTCTCATCTTTACGTAATCCTCATAAATGCTAGATCTGTTCTAAATAAATTGCCGATGCTCAGAGCACTCACAGTAATATACAAACCCCCTGTAATTGTCATCACTGAATCTTGGTGTCATTCGGACATCCTGGATGATGAAATAAGCTTAGATAACTACACACACTTTCGGTGTGACAGGGAAGGTGGTAAGGGAGGGGGTTGTCTCATGTACTTCTTGAATGAACTTACTGTATCACAGCTAGAAAGTAGTACACTTAACATGCCTGAGACTCTATGGGTTAATGTACACTTAAATAACGTAACAGCACTAATTGGATGCTCCTACAGAGCACCTGGCACCTTTAGTAACTACGAGACCCAACTCATTAATACTCTGGAGCAATTAACCGACTTACAATACGATCATAAGATCCTATGTGGGGACTTTAACTTACCTGAAATCAACTGGGATATACCCACAGGTCCAACTAAATTTGATAAGTTCTTAGACACACTGGATATACTTGGCTGGAAACAAACTGTCACTACTCCCACAAGAGGTAACAACGTACTAGACTTAATCTTCTGCCACAATATAAGCCCCCTTTCAACGCTAGTAGGTTCTGAGTTCCCAGGGAGCGACCACAAAACAGTAATGTGTGCACTGCCAATTCCGCTGAGTAGCAATGCATCTCATACCTCCACTTCACAACAAGTAATATATAGGAACTATAGTAAGGCAAACTGGGCCTTAGTTGAATCGATGCTAAGATCCTCCAAATGGGATGAATACTTCACTACTGATGACCTATCGAGAGCCCTAACCATCTTCTACCATAACTCAAACATATGCTTAGATGCTGTCATTCCACTCCAAACACTAAAGGTTTCCCCACACAGAAAGTCATTCATAAAACCAAAGGATCGTAAGAAACTGAAGAAACTCTCAACAAGTTACTTCAAACACCACGACTTTGGCACTCTAGGTCTAATACTTAAAACCCTTAGCTCCATCACACAAGCTCAAGATTTCCGTATGAGAAAGGAAGAACGCATCGCAGTAGCCAGTCCTGCTAGAGCGTATGCACTCACAGAAATCTTAAGGAAGCGAATGAATCGCAAAAATCACAGCATTTCTCTCCTCATAGACAAAGGCAGGCTATGCACTAACTCTGCAGACATATGTGAACTATTCAACAAAACGTTTGCAGGTAACTACCTTAAGCCCTCAGTCCAGCTACTCGATATACACCCTATTACTAAAATGGCACCAACTCCACTGACACCAAACCAAATTAGCACTGTTCAATTCACTTACGCTGACATTAACCAAACTATAAGAACCCTCAAAAGTTCAAAAGGTTTCGGTACCGACGGTATATCATCTTACTTCTATAAATATGGTGGCCCTGACATTCCTCTACTACTGCTTAAAATATTCACAATGTCCCTAGAAACCCAAACTTACCCTGACATATGGAAGACTACATTCATTATGCCTAAACACAAATCTGGCTCGAAAACTGAAGTCAGTAACTACCGGCCAATCAATATCACACCTATAGCATCTAGAATCATGGAGAGACTAGTCAAAAATAACCTAATCAAACACATGCTTAGCTGCAACATCATAAGTCCGAACCAACATGGATTCCTGAAATCCAGATCATGTTTAACATGTCACCTAGACTTCTTCAATTTTGTAACCAGCAGTCGTGACAGACGGCAACTAGTACTTGTCATCTACTTTGACATTTCTAAGGCATTTGACCGTGTTGACCATTTACTGCTAACAAATAAACTGAACTCCTTAGGAATACGTGACCCATTATTAGGATGGCTTAAATCATTCCTTAACAATAGGTCCCAAATAGTTAAACTCGGGTCTGCAACCTCCAAACCTAGCCCTATCACTTCTGGTGTAGTACAAGGTAGTGTCATTGGACCCCTCCTATTTACACTATACATCAATGACATATGCGCTTGCTTCACGCACGGGAAACCATTCATCTTTGCAGATGACCTAAAAGTAGCTTATACATTCCAACGTGATGACTTAGGGAACTTCGAGAATGTAGTACAGAAGGAATTAGATAAAATGGCTGCTTGGTCGTCCCTATGGAATCTCCAATTTAATCTGAACAAATGTGGCTGGATCTGCTTCGGTGCACCCTCAATCGACCTGAAATTAACGCTCCAATCTGCTAACCTAACAAGACTCCGAAATGTCGTTGACCTAGGCCTGAGGTACTCTAGTGACTTGACATTCTCAGAGCAAGTAGCATCACAGACTAGAAAATCGAGGATGCTCTTAGGATGCATACTCAGGAACTTTCACGACAATGAAGCCAAGCTAATTCTGTACAAAACATGTGTCAGACCACTACTAGAATACTGTCCATTTATTATAAGCAGCACTCGCACACGTGACAAGCTAAGGATGGAAAGTATCCAACGATATTTTACCTCAAAACTGCTTGGCTACGATTGTAAGGAAGACTACATCTCACGGTGCATGATCCTAAAACTCGACCCACTTTGGACAAGGCGACTTATTATAAACCTAATATTCTTCTTTAAGGTCCTTCACAAAATATCTTTCTCAGGTAACAGGGACATACAATTCGCACAGGAAGGTTCTTACGATCTGCGTAACCAAACTTCCACAGTGACAACTCATTCTTTTAAGTCAACACTCCGTGAAAACTTCTTCACAGTCATGTATTCTAAAATATGGAATAGCCTACCCCTAGATATCAGAACTTGCTCTTCGGTTACAAGCTTCAAACGCTCTCTATACAGACTGTTTCACTCTACAGATTATATTAATAAACTATTTACTCCTAGAACGAATCAAGCACTAATCTACTACAGCACCTAAAAGACGCACTTCAACACCCTTAGCAATCTTTAAACTATAAATAAACTAGCAGCATGGATGCATAAAGACATAGTACGGAACATACAGGATTAGTCTACCCTTAGAAATAGGACCTATCCCTCATTGTAACCTTCAAACGCTTGCTATGTAAACTGTTTTATTCTAAAGACTATCCCTACCAGAACCCATTACTTATTTCTAAAACGCATCAGTCATTAGAACAATAAAAACGCTCAGACTCATTAATACACATTATGACATTAAATAAACTCTAAGACTTCGCATAAATACGTGAAAACCAGATACAATATAGAAAAATGTTTACTTAAGTATAATTAAGATAAACATTTATAAATGAATCATGTATTAATGTTCTTTTCATGTTCACATACTTTCTCTTTCTGGTATTTTGCTGCTCCTATTCATCTTCTGGTCGAGGTCGAACAACCCTGCATCTAAACTGAAATGAGGATTAATTCCAAACCGTCTATCTCATAACCACTCAAATTCCATGAACGATCCAATTCTACCATTTGAAGACGCTGGCGAACATGCTGTAAATGAGTATTCATGATCTGAAATGAAGAAGCAACTGGTTTTCAAACAGTTTTCAACGTTTTACTCAACTTACGAATACAGTCCGCCATGCAGACACAAATGGAGCAAATGGAGGATTCTGGAATCGACCTCGGCACCATTTGATGCAGTAAAACAACCCAACATGACCTTATTTAGTTTTCGTATCCACGATCAAATTTCTTTCCTGTTATGAAACTACGATAAGAGTGCTGAAAAAATGGAATAAATATATCACTGATCTCAACATAATACATCAATAATCTTTAAGCCATGGGTGCTGCTCACAACAAAGTTATATAAGAGAATTGACTTCAAGCTTTATTTTTCCCAGATATCTGTATTACATTCATCTGATGTCTGGGTTTTTTGTTAATGCGAAGACAATATTTCTATATCTCTTTATGTGCTACACAAACAGACTTTATAGCAGACTGTTCCGACTGACTTTGATGTCAGAAAGAACAACCAAACTGTAAATTCATTATACATCAAATTGTGTGTAATTTATATAATAACTTATCCATGCCTGTACAATTGGTATGTTCCTGCATAAACAGGAAGAAATATATATATATATAAGCAAAGAGAATACTGTGAGACACCATGTCAAATGCCCTAGATATATCGAAGTAGAGAACA